AGCAGGAAACATCATAACGAAACATAATTGAATGACACCAAAACTTAGATAAATGTAGAATTCAAAGGTTAAGAAATACAAACTTTATCGTGTAATCAACCAAAATAAAAAATATGCTACGCATTACATTTCGAATAATATTAGCTTTCAAATGAAGTGTCAAACTTTACAATAGGTAAGAGTTTTGTATGCTGCTATCGAGCTTTAAAATCAAAAGTAATCTTGTTATATTGCCGAATTCTCCTTAAAATTATCTTTTCAATGACGTGTCATACTTGGCACTTTCTCCATTTTACCTGCATTGGTTAGAGTTGCGCAGTGTAGGGAAATGATGTATGACAGTTAATATGATAAAAAGATGTCCTTCTTCAAACTAAAATCGATTTGTCCGAGCGTTTTTTAATATCCATGATATTAATCAAGTTTTCATTGGGTCACCTTATATAAAGAGAAAGTATTTATATTAAAGAAAATTAACTTATAAATAATAACCTTTAAACAAAATATAAATTAAATGGATCAATCCCATACGAAAGAAATACTAAATAAATAGTTTTAAAAAAACTATATTAAAACCAGTTGTGAAGTTTCAAATGAATGGTAATGAAATTAATATTTTTGTATTTGATTGTATGTTACTCGTCCACTTCCTGAAAAAGGATTATCCATCAAACAAGAAATAGTAAACAGTTTATAATAATAATCTTTTTCTACACCCGTATTATAATAATGCACTTATATGCCCATAATCCGTTTCATAATGATACCCATTATGATACAGATTTTTCATTACGATACAGATTTTTCATTACGATACAGATTTTTCATTACGATACAGATTTTTAATCAATAGAAACCTACAATTTTTCAATCAAGCATGCTGTTTGACGTTTGTCCTAGGTTCCTATGTATTTGTTTTAGTTGTCAAAACGTATTCAATTTTGGTAGATAACTAAACTTCGTTAATTATAATATTAAAATGTCTGATATCAGCGATATAGAAGACTCCTCCACACATATCGGAGAAAGCAGAAAATACAGTACAAAATATTTTGCCGCAAAAATCTAGGGAAATACCAATACCCGAAGTAATACCATTAATTACAATTTTGTAGAATTTTTTATAGAAATACACGAGTAATTATTGTTATTGTGTTCAATACCAATATGAATATAATATTTATAGTTCTTGATTATTTATCGGGTGTAGAAAAAATAGCGTATGCAACTCTCATGTAATGGTTATTAATACACTCGCATAAACCATACGAAACTCGCCTTTGGCTCGTTTCGTATCCCGGTTAATGCTCGTGTATTAATAACCATCATTACATGATCGTTGCATAATATACTATTATTTGCTACTTATAACATGTACCAATACAAAGTCCGATTCTGTGTATTTTCAACTAAACAAATATGGCGGTCGATAGATTCTTTAAAAATTAAATAACTCATCAAAATAAATATAAGTTTCCTTTATCACAGTCACACTTCGCACTTTTATTATAAATAAAGCTTTTTACAACACATCCTGGCATTTTCAACGTTAATTTCCAAAATTTAAGTCACTAAAATACCAAATTAATTCTCATTGACACATTAAATTTGGGCGAACAACGCTCTGACATGTGATGTCCTCAACTGTGATTGGTGGGTGTGAATAATTTCGAAGTGGGATTATGCGCAGTGTCTTATGTTCCATTTGAAAAGTATGTGGTGACCACATACTTCGCTTTTCTTTTACTATACGGAGAATGGTCGCACTGCGCAGCTTTCTGAGTGCCTTTTAAAAGTAAAGTAAATTTTATTTGACTACGTTACATATTACAATATATGTTTGTAGCAAGTCACAAAACGTAAATATTAAAATAACAGCTTAGTTTTAAACATAAAATACAGAACTACACAATGAAATAACTACATACATATAATTGTTAAGAAGAATAAAATAACTCAAATTAAGTTAGGTGAGTATGGGTGTTAAAAAAAAGGGGGTAGTATGGGCCAAAATATGCAGAAAAGTCTTAATAAACATATGTCCGCAAATGAATGGTTTCAGAGATACGGAGTGTTTTGTGTTTTGTATCATTTTTTGATTATCTTTTTTCATTCTCAAAAACTTGCTTTTCTTATCGGAGTCTACCGATGTTTTTTCATAGATACTATTTGCAGTTATTATTTTGTTGTGGGTGAATAATTTTATAAATTTTCGTTATGCCTGTTTACACTAATATTGAATTAGCTGACATGCATTTTATGTACGGTCGTGCAAATGGCAATGCATTGAAATGGAGGGAGGGCACTTTGAACATCTCATTTGACTCTATGTTGTTATTGATTGTTTATAAATATCATTGTTTTTTTATAATAATAAAAAATTGTTATAAACACAAAATGGTCCGTATCTCCAAAACCGTTAATTTGCGGTCATATATTTATTAAGACTTTTCTGCTTATTTTGGGTCATACTATTCACCATTTCATTTTGTGACACTTTTTTTTTAAGTATAAAAGAGAAGAGAAAACAAATAGAGTAGAAGGTTTAAGAACTATGTAAGTTTACACCGATCGATATATTCCTCTACGGAATAAAAACAATGTGTCAACATAAATGTTTTTAATTTTTTTCTTAAATGAATTGAACTCCAGCAGCCCAAACTCGGATGGCAATACATTATAAAGACCAAGGTCGAGGGAATTGTTTTTTGATTTATTTAGACGATATCTATTTATTCTTAAGTTGTTAGCTTGTCTGGTAGGATATTTGTGAATGTCGGACTGCCTAGAAAGACATGATAATTTCTTATGAATTTCCAAAAAGACACTAAATATATAAATCGTTGGTAAAGGTATTATTCCTTGCTGAATAAACAAGGGCTGACAATGTTCTCTAAATTTGGAACCAGTTATGATTCTAACAGCCTTCTTCTGCAGCCGAAAAATCAAAATTGCATCTGAACTGTTACCCCAAAGTGCAGTGGCATAATTATGTGGGAATGGAATAGGGAAAAGTAAATCGTTCTTAATATGTACGATCTGTTATAGTTTTAAGCTGCCTCAACAGATATAAGGTACTGCATAATTTAGGTTTTAATTTATTTATATGAATTCTCCAAGTTAAATTACTATCTAACATAACTCCAAGTAACTTAGTACTATTGCAATTTTGAGAATCGGTAACCGAAGAAAACTACAATTCCTGAGATTTACTTTGATTTAACATGAGATTGTTAGCTAAGAACCAATGTTCAGCTCTAGCGATAATAGTTTCTGCAGTATTTTTCAATTCAATTTCATTTTTTGTAGAGTACACAAAAGTGGTATTGTCTGCAAATAGAACAGATTTAAAAGGACCCATAAAAGGAGATAGAAAACTCCGCCATTTTGATCCCTTATTACGTGCTGCCTACATCTTGGCGAAATATTTTTAATAGGTCCGTTTTAATCATCCGCTTCTGCTTCGGAATTATCGGTTTTCTTGTTTTAATCTGACAGGTTAAAACAACTAAACCGACAATTCCGGAAGTCCTTCGTGTGATGGAACCCATAGAAAGTTATTATCTTGAAGTTGTGATTACTCGGATTTAATAAGAACTCCTAGTGGGTAATTGATCTATAGCTGTTTTATAGTCTATACAGGGCTAAGAAAATCTGTTACTACGAATGCTTTAGCTAACTTTTGTTGATTTATGCGAGTGAGTGCTTGAGAGATGGAATATAGTTCTGCTGTATGACTGCTGGTGATAGAGGGTAATTTGTATTCAAATAAACGCTCACACAAGATAGAGATACGTTGTGTAACTAATTTATATAATTTATATGCATCTCTCTTGATAGAAGGGTTGAGACCGATAGTCGGGTAACAACAGTCATACGATTCAGATGACAAAGAACGAAAATCCCGGCCACTGACCGCGGTGCGAATTTATAAAACAATTTCCTGGGCAAAGTAAATATTAAAAAAATGTTAATCGTTACCAATGCTGTAAATAATTAAATAGTATTAATCGTTACAATGCTGTAAAAAAATTAAAAAGTGTTCATCGCTATTAATAACATGTTAATATACAAAGGTTGCATTTTCATGGGATCTGGGAAAATGTCAAACCTACACCTATGGCAGCAGTCTACGTGTTAAGCGAGCCCTAGTTAGGGCCGTATTCAGATTTTGTATTGAATGTTTATTTCTTTTGTTATAAATAACAGTTCAATGCAAAAATATATCGTAGATCGCAAATCAAAATCCGAAAGGTCAGAATTATTGTGTACAGAACAAAGATGTCTGGGTTCAAATCCCAGCGGCGACCAGCTTTTTTAAATCTCCAAGTGTGTGTATTCACCTTTGGGGTTCGGGGATGTGTTTCCGAATTTTAAAATTATTTTACAATTTATTTCAGCTAACACTGACCTTTCGGATTTTAATTAGGGATCTACGATATATAAAATTCACCATTTTTATAATTTTTATTGTTTCCTTGGAAATTGTGCTTCTAAATTTCATGAAACAAAATCCTTAAAATACAACGAGACGTCAATCGAGTGGTATTTCAGGAGAATTTTTCTAAGTGAAATTTGCATAATTTGTAAGGAAAAATGTTTTCAAACATTTCTCACCTCGCTTGGTATTCAGAAAGTTTATTTAACAATATAAACAGAGTTTTAGTAACCAATATTTGCTTTGTTTTAACAAGTTGAAGTCGAAAGTGATGTCGGTTTTTTATTTACAATCAAAACGATTTTTGTTTATTTTTCGTCAACTTTTTGAAAAACTTCGCATAAACGATTCGCATAAATCATTTATAATGAATTGAATTTTTATAAATCCAATCGAGATTGAGTGAAAACACTGCCCCATGCAATATTTTTAGATGCAGTATCTTTTGATTGGCGTATATGAAAGAAAATTATATGTTCATTGGTTGATGTATTATTGTGTTAAATAATCAACGCAAGACAATCCAATGTTTCAAATATTTGTAATATTCTAAATTTTTCAGGAATGCAACGAGTTGACGGAGCTTTCGGTCCTTTAATAGTTCGGGTCCCAGATGAAGAAAACCCTCATAAACATCACTACGACTTCGATCTTTCAGAACACGTAATGGTTATTATAGACTGGAACTCAGAGCTAGGCATTGAGATGTTCCTAGCTCATCATCATAACGATGGTACAAATAAGTCCCCAACGATACTGATAAATGGATTAGGTAGATTTAAAACATTCTATGGTAGGGCGAATAAACCTATTTATACGCCTCCTGCTAGGTTTAAAGTAAAACAAGTAAGTATAAACAAGATAAGCATATGCGGCGCAGTAGTTTTATTACACAAAATAATGTTTCATCTTCAATAATGGCTATGTAAGAGTCAAAGTAATTGCTATTTTTCTCTATTCACATTCATCCTTTTTACCACCAGTATCGATAAAATACAAAAATATTAACAAATGTAAACAAGCATAATTAATTACAATCAATATCTTATTTATTAAACTGTCATCAGCTTATTTATACAAGCACATTTTGATTATGGTTTATATATTTCGTTAATTTTAGGGTTATCGGTACCGATTCAGGGTCATTAACGCAGGATTTTTGAACTGCCCAGTGGAAATGACAATAGATAATCATTCTATAAATCTTATTAGTTCTGATGGAAGTGATATCATCATAACACCAGGTAAAAAAGTTAGCAGCTTTACCATTAAAATATTTAAATTAATAATTAGCGGGACAAATGAAATAATTGTCTTATTTCAATTATTAAATATTTTACTGTAAGCTGCCAAAGTTTTACCAAAATCCATCACATAAAAGATAATGAAATTCTAAACCTCTGTTTGGACCATAGAAAATACATTATAATGGCGGCCTTAAGGAGGAATTAGTAATTATCGCTATTTCATACAAATAGTGGAATGTGCAATTTTATCAATTTGGCCTTTAATAAACTTCCAATTGACGTTCTGGTCAATACGTCAAAATGTCGTCATTTTAGAATTTTTTTGATTGAAATATCAGCACCTATAGTAGGTTCTATGCTGAATTTGGGGCCAAGAGCTAAGAATTTGAAAATGTCATCAGGTAACTGTACGTCTGATAGGTTTTTAATCCAATGTGGTTTACTATTGAGTTTCATAGTAAGCTCAGCATTGATTAATCGTTCGATCTTTCTTTTCTCGTAGCATTGACATTAAATAACCAAATATTGACGAGCAAATGACGTCATTTAGTTACTATCTGTTTATTTTATTTTTTACTACACTATTTTTTTTACATCTTTAGCAACATCGCTAGTGACCTTCGCAGGTGAACGTTTTGATTTTATTTTAAATGCCGATCAAGTAAATGACCTTTATTGGATTCGTTTTAAAGGCAATTTAGATTGTGGTGAAAAGTTTACAAAAGCCTTTCAAGTTGCTGTCTTACAATATGATCTACATGATGATTTAACCGATGACGACAGACTTTTAAACAAATTTCCACGTGGTCAAGTTACATTTGAAAATGCACATGTAGACGGTCTAGTAAGTATAACATTTTAAGCAACTGATTTCATTTAGATGTACAAATAAACAAATAAATAAATGAGAACGAACGAACAAATTAGCTACATGGTGTTATTTTAAAATTAATTAATAAAAAAATTAAGCATAACAATATCATACACGTTATATCTTGAATAACACTATTAGTTTTTTAAAAAATATTTTTTTACTTAAAAGGTATAATGTGTTTGTTGTAGGTGAGTTGTTATAACTAACTGATTTTTAATGTGTCACCCCTATTTATAACATAGGTAAATCAAAAGAAATATCTAAAAGGTGTAATGTGACGAAAGTGTTGCATTTGCAAGAAATGCAACTTGGCTGAATACAATCCTAGAGGTCAATGATAACCATTCTAGGAATTGCAACTAAGCATTATTTAACTCTAGAGAATTTACTATTATACAGTGTGGAAACCACTTATGGAATAAAATTCTTTATGTCATTATTTTAGAAAATTGTAAAAAATGCCGAGACACGTCAACTTTTGAATTGAGTTGTGCGTTATGTAAACATAAATTTAAATGTACAGGGTGATTCACGCAAGTATGCCAAAGTCGGTGTTGTTTTTTTTTAATGAAACCCTGTATATTTGCATATTTTTGAAATCCTCTTAATGAACCGATTCCAACAAACTGAATAATGTATGGTCAATTATGAATTATACAGGGTGAAATTTTAAAATTAATAATTTATTACACTTGAAATATTGGTACTTTTTTAAATTAGCTAAATATGGATTTATCAAAAATCTAAACTAACTAATTATTAGACGTATTTGTACAATTAAACAAAACCTGCTACGCCCATGAATTTTATCATAAATACCTAAAAATTGCCTAAAAACGCCAATAATTAGACAAAATCGGTAAATAATGTGGATTGTTTTCTATTCTGTCAGTTGTTGATGTGTTGAGAGTTTATACTGAAAAAGTAAAATCTTTGTCAAACACTCTTTCCTTGTCGACATAACAATGAAATATTTAACTGATAACTCACCGAATTGAGATTTTAATGATGATCGGGTACAGGGATAACTGCAGAAGTCAAGTTGAAGTGGCAAACTTATTTAATCACAGGTATCCCGAATTGCCTAATATTTCACAAAGTACTGTGTCTAAAATTCATGCACAATTCAGAGAACTTGGACATGTCAAACCATTGAAAAGAAAACCACACTTCGTTGAAGATGATGTGAAAGTGGATATTTTGTTAAGTGTCGAAGAGAATCCAACTTCAAGTACACGTCAAATTGCCCGTGAAAATAATGTTAGTCATACAACTGTTCTAAGATGTCTTCATAAAGAAAAACTTCATCCCTACAAATTAACTTTTGTGCAGGAGTTAACAGAAGACGATCCAGATCGTAGAATGGATTTCTGCGAAAGATTGATGAATAAGCTGAACAGAAATGAGATAGCTCTTGGTACCATTCTTTTTTCTGACGAATCAACATTCACATTGAATGGAGAGGTAAACCGACAGAATTGTAGATATTGGTCAGCAGACAATCCTAATTGGATGCGTGAGACACATACTCAGTACCCTCAAAAGGTGAACGTTTGGGCCGGTATCATAGGCGACCATATTATTGGTCCTATATTTATAGATGGAAATTTGACAGCTGAAAAATATTCAAATATGCTTAGAAATGAAGTTATTCCTGCGTTGGCAAACTTATATCCCAACGCAATAGATCCTAGCTTACCGAATGAAAATGTTTGGTTCCAGCAAGACGGGGCAACACCTCATTATGCTTTAATGGTAAGAACTTATTTAGATAAAATCTTCCCCAATAAATGGATTGGACGAAGAGGTACTATTGAGTGGCCAGCTAGATCGTCAGACCTTACGCCGTTAGATTTTTTTCTGTGGGGTTATCTCAAGAAAAAAGTATATGCAACACAACCAACTAGCATTGTAGACCTCAAAGACAGGGTAACTACAGAAATACGGAATATTTCACCTCAAACTTTAAACAAAGTTAAAGAGGAGTTCTACAGGAGACTGTGCTATTGCCAACAACTAGGTGGAGGACATTTTGAGCATTTATTTTAATGTATTAAAATCAAATACATCAGGTATTTTATGTATGTGTTTAATAACTGTCAAAATAAAAATTTCACCCTGTATAATTCATAATTGACCATACATTATTCAGTTTGTTGGAATCGGTTCATTAAGAGGATTTCAAAAATATGCAAATATACAGGGTGTTTCATTAAAAAAAAACAACACCGACTATGGCATACTTGCGTGAATCACCCTGTACATTTAAATTTATGTTTACATAACGCACAACTCAATTCAAAAGTTGACATGTCTCGGCATTTTTTACAATTTTCTAAAATAATGACATAAAGAATTTTATCCCATAAGTGGTTTCCACACTGTATAATATATAGTGTGAATTTTTATATAACATACATGCTGAATGAGTTGTTGGTGGCAAGTTACCAACTATAGCAAAATACATTGGAATGAAGTGAAATAGTAAGAGGTATTTGAAGTCAACAACGGTATACAATACTTTAATGTACCCATTCTAATTGGGTACCATGCCAGAGATTATGCTGTACATGCAAATATTAGACTTTCCACAATTGCATATCTCTCAAATTTGGGAATGATCCTTTAACTAAAAGAAAAAGAAGTGCACCTCTATCAACTAAAGTAGTTGAGTATAATACAACATCAGAAACTACAAGAGAAGCTATTTGGCTCGAAATGTTTCTACAATATATTGGAAAGAAAGAGGTATGAAATATACCTATCAACCTTTTATCGACAATCAATTCGCCTCTGTAAAAATCCCGAATTTCATAAGCGTACGAAGCATGCTGATATACGTTACTATTTTGTTTGCGAGAAATATGAAGAAGGATATACAGTGTGGTGTTAACGTATTGAAAAAAAATTATAATTGCGTTATTTAATGTTTTCAAGCAAAACCATCGGAAAGGTCCTTTTTTTAATTAGCCACCTTATAACATAAAATTTGCACTTATTACGTCACGTATTTTTGCACAATGGCGTAATCATTGTTTTTTATGACAACCCCATTTTTTTGCTGTTTTTTAATAGATGGTCCAACCACTTAAATGGTGGTAATTGATACCTTAAATAACTATTTTTTTATGAAAATAACATGAATATCGTAAGAAATAAAAAAAACTTTAATGGAAAAAACGTAATTATATTCCAAAAATACACAAAATTTGGCGCAATTGTTCAAATTGCTCTCCGTCAACCTTTTGGCACTTTTTCAGATTACTTTCTCTTTCTTTCTCCTTTTTTAACTTCTTTTTCCATTTCTTTTTGTTTTTTAACTTCCTCTTTTTAAATACAGTCTTAAAATTTTCTGGTGATATAACGAATGGTGCCAGTTTTGTTTATCTTGTGCCTTTCCTTTCAGGTGTAGCCTTTTTCAAATCTGTATTAATATTTTACAGTTTTAATGTCAAGTTTTTGTCTACATAGTAATCAAAAAGTATTGGGTTTTCTTAAGTTTTTTCAATAATTTCAGGCATGTTAAAAATTTCTTTACCATTTTCTGTCATTTTATTATTGTTTTCCAAACATATCAAGTATTGTGTTTTTTATTTTCCTAATTTTTTGTTGTTCCCTGTTATTTAATTATTTTCTACCATATATATCGACTATTATATTACTGAGTTTTCGTTATCTTCCTTAATTATTTCAGACATGTTAAAATTTCTTCGCTGACATTTCATTGTTTTCTTCTATAAATATGGGATATTTAATATTAAAATCATCGGTAATGATACCAAACTTGATGTCCACCTGTACTTGTAGTTCCCAGATCCACTAAAATATCACTGGCTAGCTCTTCATTTTTAGTTGCTGTCAATACAGCAGAAACATTTTCGGTAAAAAATTGTATAACTTATTTTACTTTTTTAAAGTTAATACTAGAATTTTGTGTGTTGTCCAAACTCAATTTTTTTCTTATGGTTTCTCCTACGATTTTCGAAATATCTTCGTTATTCATTGTTGTTGTCATGTTATTTTTTGTTAGTCTTTCTTCTGTTGTCGCTTCAACTTACTTTGCACAAGATTGTCGTTCTAAGCACATCGATAGCATTGCAATTCCAAGGATATAAATAGGTAGCCTTAAAACCATTTTTGATACTTTGGGCTTGTAATGAATTCTTAATTATGTCTCTTTCATTTAGGCTTCCGATGGATAATACCTTTCTTTCAGCGCCCTCTTTTAAGAGCTTGAAAACCGACACATCGGCGGGTCGTAGAATTCCAGTCGCATTGGGATACAACGCTTGTTTATCTCAAAGATAAGATGTTTACTCCGATTTTTTTCAATTGTTGCCGTTTAGACAGTAAGCACATTTATCTGGGATACCTTTTCCGATTTTTATTGTTTTTTTTTTTTGGGTAAACGATCATAGTAGTCAAAGATCCATCAGCTCCAAAAGTAAACATAACGATGATTGTTGATTTGGTTTGTCCAACATCAATCTCATATACATTTTTCGAACCTTCGACAGCCAAAACTCTGTTCCCCTTTGGACACAACTCAAGGTTAGTTTTATCCCCGTTATAAAGTCTTGTTGGGTCCTTTAGTATATCTTCAAGTTTTCCATCTTTTAAATATTTTTTAAGAGAAAACCACCCTTTAATATATTTTTTACTAACATTGAAACTGGATGTAAAGCCTTTAGACGTCTTCTTGTATAATAGAGAATGTTTTTTTGAATGCATTATACCATCAATGCCTTAAAAGAAGTGTCTCTATGTGTGTTTCCTAAAAATATTTTGACGCTCTGTGCGACATCTTCAAAGCGTCGTGGAAATCTCTTTTTTGGTAAAAGATAATCCAGGATACCAAAATGCTGTCCTCCTCGCTAGATAGGACTGAACTTGGATCATAGGCCATTTTGACGAAAGACCTCGCACGTTTCTTATGGAAATTAAATTTCGGTCAAATGTTTTGAAATTTT